CTTCTACGACCAAGGACTTTCTCAGACTCATGCTCTGCCAGGGAGGAGGGGAAGCCAGGAGGAAGCAGAGACGGGACACCTTACCCAAACTGGCCAAAGGGGTATTCCATACCACAGCACGTCATGCCCAGTATAGAAACTGGTGGAGTCACTCAGAAAGCCCAGATTGCTGCTTGGGTCGGGCTGGGTATCGGTTGGTGGGTGGTGAGCAATTGCATCCTCTCCCCTTGCTATTTCCCTTATCATTATTATTATTCATGGTAGCAGGTTTGTGTTATACCTTAGTTACTGGAGTGCTGTTATCTCAACCCGTGGGAGTTACATTCCTCTGATTCTCCTCCCCATCCCTCCAGGAGTGGGGGGAGGAAAAAGTGGGGGTCTGAGTGAGCGGCTGCGTGGTTGAAGTTACCGGCTGGGCTTAAACCACGACAGCATTTTTATGTTTCTCTTATTGAACTGATGGCTTAAACAATGACAGAAACCATTGTTCGGGCAACTTACCTCCATTAATGGCAACTTCCCCCAGGCAGTTATTTGGCACTTTAGGAGCACAGCGTTTGTGACAGTTGAACCTACAGTCTGTTAAGAAAAAAAGGGATACTGCAAAATTATACCTCTCTTCCTGTAACACAATTATATTTTTTTCCTGTTCTTCAGCCGATAGATGTCAGGCCCTACCATTACACACTACTACAGAGTTAACATGCCCAGAGAGCATTCTTTATCCTGGTTGCATGCCACCTGCCAGTGAAAGGGACAGGATTAAAGACGCTAGAAGTGTGTTTCCCTGGCTGGAAAAGAAAGCATTATGAAGGGCAGCTGGGTGGAGGCACTACCTGCAGCTTAAGTGCGTGCTCAACTTGTTTAGGGGAATGATGGGGAGACCCTAGTGCTTGGCTGCAAAGCTAGACCTGCTTTTCCAGTGAAAAAGCAGACTGGGCTGCGGTATATCTTCTGCAGCTTATGCGACTGAGTACATATCAAACACTGTTGACTGAAAATTGAAACAGCAGAAACCTAGCCAACAATTATAAGTGAGAAAATATTTGTTCTTTACATCTCAAAGCAACTTCTATACCACTTTCAGTGGACGGTTCCTTCAATTCCTTCCTTATTTTCCAGATACTTTTATTTCAGTCTACCTTAACTTTTTTCATATATGTAAGCAGCACTTTATTAGACTTCATCTTAACTGTTTTTGACTTCTGAACATATCTTACTTGAACTAAGCTGTAACTTCTTAACACACCTGGAAAAGCAAAGAGTAGGAAGGAATATACTAAGTTTGTCTATATCCTTGTCATTATTTAACTTCAGATCCGAAAACCAACTGAGGTACAGCAGGGCCAAACTGTAGGTAAATTCTTATTTTTTTTAGAAATCAGGTTAATATTTGCTTATGTCATTGGGATTCAAAATGAAATGGAACAGGTGATGCTTTCAGAGATATTTTGCTTTAGTTAAATCATATCAGAGTCACACCTTAAGTTAAATGAATGTGACTGAATTTTTGCAGGGAATTAGTTCACAGCAGCAGCACAAAGTATACTGATTAACCTTATGAGAGTTACTGCTTATTTTAATAGAAGGAAGGTGATTTTAAGGATCTGTTAGCCAACATTATCTAACACCATAGCATGCACAATGCTTTGCATTTAAGGCCACTCTAGTTGGCTAAGGTGAACCAGTAATCTAGGCTACAATCCAAGGGGCTTGATTCACTTCAGCACCTACTAAGGTACAATATATCATGAGCACACTAGTTAGTTACACTGGAAAAATATGGTTTTAAATTCTCATATAAGGTCATCTTAATTCCATTACAACTTTCCCAAAACCCTGAACTGCTGTGACTCAGGCACATGCTTCAATTAAACATAAGATTTTGTAGATTTAAAACAATGAAGAATACAGTCCTTTGTGTTAACTATTTTGCTGTAATTGCCTGTAAGTGCAGGCTCACCTACTGCCAAATACAAAATTACTTACACCTGAACGAAAAAGATGTGAGCTACTGCAGATATACTGCAGGGTAAAAAAGAACAGCCATGCAGACACCTCCTGCAGAACAGCAATTACTGTGATTTTGACTCCAGCTTAATTCAATGTAATTGTACATGTGCCTACATCTAGACAGTTTAGTGAGGAAACCATGAGTAAGGCTACATGGAAACTACTCAAATGCTAATTTACTAATTTTATTATGCTTAGCTTTTATGTACCTAAGGGGTGTTTGCTTACCTTTGCATTGCAAACCCTGTCTAAAAAGCCCTTTAAGAAGCTTCTTACAGTACTGGCAAACTGTTGGCCGTGTATAAGAGTGGATGACGAAAGTGTGAGGCACTTTAACCTTGGACAGTAAGATCTTGTCTAGCTGAATAGGTCGTCCAATGTATGACTGTGAATTCGATCTCTTCTCTCGCCCAGTGAATGATTCTGATGGTGTCTTTTGCTGTGAAATACATAAAAAGAACATTTGAAATAATCATGATGTTCTAACTTTTAAAAGAATATCACATTCACTCACCTCAAGAACAGTAAGTCATGTCATAAAAAGAAATGTGTTTTTAAACACTAATAGAACATGCAACATACCCTCTCTGACTGCTTTTGAAAAATATGAATGGTATCAAACACTATCTTTGCCAACACTACCATCACACCTTCCACATTGTGACTGAAACAGGGTTTCAGGGTTTTATTGGGGGGGAAAGGGGAAAGTCAGAATTAAAATATTTACTAAATTTCTTAGAAAAGCATTTTGCATTCTGATAAGCACACAAGCCATTTCTACCCCTCTTATTTTCTTTTTATATCAAATTTAGTGTTGAAAGGCTGTATTTTTTGTACAAACATTAAAAAATAGTTACCTTATTCCATGTGCATGCAGGGGTTTGATACAAAACAAATTAGTATTTTCCATGCCCTTCATTTATTATTTTTGCTACCGCTAACCTTACCACATTTAGATTACGCACAATGTATCACAATAGGTATATAAATGTATGTAGATAAATACATACGAAGTGAGACACACAGCCTAAGGTATGGAATCAAAAGAATTTCTGAAAAAAATGATTTACCTTATATTCTCAACTCATTTCATTTAGAAGTAAATACAGTACTTACCCCAGAAAACAACTGACCCAGAAAGCTGCCTTCTCCCAGTAACTGCCCTCAAGAAGCAACCAAACTACACCCACAGTTAACATGGAAAGGAGGGGAAATAAAAAAAGCTACAAGATGCATCTGATCATTTAAAACTCAGCATCATCTTACTGTCACCTGCAAATAATCTAATAACTGAAGGCTAGAAAATGAGTCATTGTCGGTGAGCCTGCACTGTGCAATAAGTTGTAGTAGCTGAAACTTCAGATTGGCCTAACTTGAAAAACTGTTTTGTTTCAAACTAATAATGTTATAGGAAATTCTTCATTTGAGAAGGCTGATTGATTATTATATTCTGGTCACTAAAATATAAAAATACATTTCTGTATGCTTCTTGTGAGAATCTTGGAGTAAAGAGGAACTTGAAAGTCATTTTGATGGCAGAAGAACCTAAGGTGTTCAAGGCTTTGCCTTCCCAGTCTATTTTGAATAGGGGAAAAAAGTTTCTTCCTTCCAAATTTCTGACAGGTTTCTTACTGAGAAGATCAGGATTTTTTCATTGCACTGTACAACTATCTGTCTTTCCAAAGAACTATATGCAATAGATTTGCTGAACATCAGAGCTACCCTGCTAACTGACAATGCCAACATCACATTCTTGCCCATTATATAAATGCAGTCCTGTTGAATCAAGGAAAAATACGCAAAATACATTGTATGAGCCAGGTACATATGGTCACAATAAACAAACTAAATTGAAACAAGTCTAAGAAATCAAATGTGTTTATCACAAATAACTGGAAAAAGTTTGAGTACATTCTTTCATATTTACTTCCTTAGTTTTAGATCTTTATGCTCTGTAAAGCATTTATGCACATAAAAAACACCCCCAAACTAATCTCAGTTTATGATAAAATTTATTTAATATTTTTTAGTTTGCAATATTGTTTGCCTAGTATTCCAAGGCAGATTGCATTAAGACTTATAAAGTCAACAAGAGCAGGACTTTAAAAGCAAGGGCAGAAGCCCAGCAGGAAGGAAGAGTGAGCCCACATGCACAGCACAAACTGCATTGCTCAGCTTGTGCAAACCACCTGCAAATGACAGCCCCCAGTACTTGTGGACAGAACAAAGCTCAGAAGAGGAACAAGAAATAAGAGATCAGGCCCTCTCAGTCTGATGTGTAGAATTAGGGAGAGTTTTGGCACAGACTGATGCTAACTCAGTCCTAGCACAGTGCCTTGCAAGTTACATCCTATGTTATGGTTAGATACCTAGCTCTGAATTTGTTCTCCAATGGTCGCAATAAGAACAGTTATACATGGGACATACTACATTTTAATATGAGTATTTTCTTTTTGAGTAAAATAATTCTTTAACAGTTAGCCTTAATTCTAATCACTGCTTGCGAGGCATTAGTCACAACACTGCTGTCTTTGTCTTGAATATGGACACTTGGTGGACTTTTCACATGTAGTAACACCATTCTTTTAAAATGTACTTTAACTGAAAAGGAGGGGGAAATTTCTAAGAGGAAAGAGTTCTATTCTTTGCTTTCATTATGTCACTGCAACAAACCAATAATTCAGTTTACTGTTCTTACCACTAGAGCTTGACCATCTTACGTGACAGTCTTACTCTTGTCTGAAGTACAAGTGATGCAAACACTGCTTAAGGTTATGATCTTAGAACCCTAATATCATCTATACTAAACTTAGTATTATCACTTTGCCTTCATTTTCCAAATTATTGCCAAATCAAAAATTATTTTGGCAATTGAATAGTATTAAAAGCTTTTTAAAAATCTAAATTACTTATATCTAGTTAACTTCATGCTCAAAGGATTTTAGAAAGATGGTTTGGCCCAGATTTTCTCACCAAATACCTTGCAGTTTTAGAAACTTCAGTAGCGTTGCTGAAATGTACTAAGACTCATCTTCGACACTTACATGATTATCAGAGAGACAGACTTCCTTACAGCTTTGGCTCTGACCACTGAGATATGCTGCCTAGATGATGTCTTATCAAATCTCAGTTGTGGTACACTTTGAGAGTGGGACAAATTATTTGCTATAATTTTTGCTTTTTTGAGTATGATGGCAAGTTTTTCAGCTTTGATGTGCTAATATATGCTTCTGCGTGGTTCTGAGAAAATGTTAGGTTGGACGAGTAGCATACAGTGTAACACATCAGCAATTCTTAGTTTACAATGTCTTCAGGTAAAGTGAGAGGTAAAGCTGAGTTTCACCTTCTCCCATACTAGAAAAAACATCAGTAGTCATGGATCTGATCTCTCTCCTGCATGCTCAGGCCTGATATGAGGGACTTGCACTCCTTCCCTCTTCCAGCTGGTCACAAGGCGACCCCTGGGCTACTGCTCAAAACTAGCAAGGGAATGGAAGCTGGTGACAGCTCAGAACTCATGGCAGTAGCAACCAGAGCATCACTCCACATCCCTCTGATGACTGAGTAGGAGGAGAAGCACCTCCTCCCTCTTGTCAATGACAAGCTTCTTCTCCCAGTATCTTCCAGAACTCCCCTCAACAACCCCTCAACTTTAACTTCCAGCACTCCCAGCATCAGATAGATTCCACAATCTAAACCCCTGAAAGAAAAGAAAATGAGTAACTGTTCTATTTTCACTGCGAAATCGAGAATCTCTTTCACAAAACATCTTCTTCAGATGGTGTGCCTCATTTCTTAGAAAGATAAATTAGTTTTTCCTGGTAGTCAGCCAGGCTACTGACTCAGCAAATCTGGAAACTTCCCAGGAAATGACTGCTTAACTGGATTACACCATGGAGACTAACAGCCTGCACAGCTCCAAACGCTAAACAGTCCTTTAGAACAATCATCCCAGCAAGGTAATCCATACTTTAACAGCTGAGAATATGATTTTCTAAGTGACAACAAACATGAACAAACATGTGTTCATATTTAACTGTACAGATGTTCAGCCAAGCAAGTGACACTGATCACATTCAGAGCCTTCAATTCAATTGTGCCTTAAACTATGAGAATATCTAACAGAATCCAGTGTTTGCTTACATTTTCATTCTGAAAAAAGGGGTTTTCTTAATTCCAGGATGAGAGAGATGCCATGCTTTTTCCCCAACATGGAGCATTCAGCATGATTCTCATTAGCCTTGCCTCTCCTTCTTGTTCAACTTCTTTGAATTTTGGGAATATACTCATGCTACTCATGGTTTATCTGGTGAGCTTTGTTAAAAGCTATTCAAAGACACAAGAATTGCCTACAATAGACAGAAGCACAAAGTAAATTGTACAGAACCCTGTAATTGCAGAAACAAGACGGTCCTCCATATAACCACTACTCCAAAAGTAAAAATACCTCAGCAGGAGATCCTTCCTGTCTTTTTTACCTTGTCCAAATCCATTGCAAAATACGATTAAGAAACTGAAATAAATACTGATTCCCTGCCAGTGGATTCAGCTGTTCCTATTACCCTGGTGAGCCTGACTGTCTTCTAGAATCACACCTATCCCTCGCAGGCACAAAAATCAAAGAAACTTTAGGGAGATGCTGAAGGGACTAATGAGAAGCAATAAAAGCTGACTGCCTGGATGTAGAGTTGGCTTCTTGGGAATGAAGACAAGAATCAGGCCTGCAGTCAGATGCAGAGGCTAGCCTAAAATGTAAAACAGGCTGCTGTTTGCCTGACTTCTTTTAAAAGGTTTCAACAGTCCCACTAAAACTGTTGCAGGGATTCTGACAAAACTTTACTGAGGAGCTTCACGTTCTAGAAAAGTCAGGAAAGAAATACTTCAATTTTGACAACTAATATCTCATTTTAAATCATGTTTGCAGAAACACATTCAAGTCAGTAACCTTCACTTAGAAGAAAATAGGCTACATATCTTACACTCTCCCAAATAAATATTTTTTCAAAACTGTTCACAAAGCAGTGCTAATCTTTTGCAGGCTCAATATCTTAAAAGTATTGTGACATTATTCCTGTACTTTACACTGAGATATTCAATCAAAACCAACACAGGGATTCCTACAATTTTGAAATGTTTGCCCTAGCAAAAGAAACAGACTATCATGAGTTAGTTTTTTGGGTTTTTTTATTTACTTGGACAACTGAGAAAAGTGATGTATATTTTAAGAAACAAACAGCAATAACTATCCACATGAACTTACATTTTCAGTGTTGAAGCATACTTGTTGAAACATGCATTTCCTTCCTATATTGAAGGAAGAGGATAAAGCCTTAATATGCTCATATACAATTTCTTCACAGGAAGCCACAGTGAAATGAGGTGCTAGGTATCTATGTAACCACAGGAACTACTATGTTTTTAATGCAATGCAAATGTTGA